TAAATGAATAAATGAATAAATGAATAAATGAATAAATGAATAAATGAATAAATGGATAAATGAATAAATGAATAAACGAATAAATAAATAAATAAATAAATAAATGAATAAATAAATAAATTAATAAATGAATAAGAGAATAAATGAATAAATGAATAAATGAATTAAAGGGACTATAAGCAACCTGTCATCAAACCCTGGTTCTATTAGGGTCATGATCTTCGCTAGCATACAGGTCAGATCTTCCTCGGTGTACCGGTCAACCTGTGCTAGCAGGGTCACACCTAGTAGATAGATAGATAGATAGGTATATAGATAGATAGTATAGATAGATAGATAGATATATAGATATATAGATAGATTATATATATAGATAGATAAGATAGATAGATAGATAGATAGATAGATAGATAGATAGATAGACTTTGATTTTTTATTATTATTTCAAGCGACCCTCTATGCAAAGATGGCAATGCCCGACTCACAACTGTACCCTTGAAACCTTTATCTAATCAATAATGTGGAAGATATTGTCGTTTTTCTTGATTTAAAGTGCTTGATTCTGATAATTTCTGTATGGATTCCTAAAGAAGGAATGCGCAAGTTACTTTTGTCGAGACTCTACAATAAAAAAAAATAATCTGGTTTCAAAATTATAAACATATAATTCATACTTGATCATACAATGCTTTTAAGTTATAAGTTTACCGTTGTAAATCGGGCATATATATATATACCATATTTATCATTGTAATATTTTAAAATGTTAATAAACAATGTTTAGACCTGATCCAACATGGCGGATAATGAGGGCGACATGGTGAATTATATTGTCTGTTCCCAAAACCTTAAAAAAATGGTTAATCATAACATTGCCATTATTTTGACCAAAATCTAACATTATTTGGAAAAAAAACACATTTGATTATATGACTACCTTTTCTATTAATGGCTAAACCAGTCAATTTTTCGCGATTGTAACCCAAATTTTAGCCTTTTAAAATTTGTTTTTATTTGTGCCCGATCGGTTCAGCTCAGCCGTTTTGACCTTTATTGGATAGTACAAAAAGACAGACAGACAGACAAGCAAATAGATGTCAATATTGACCTCAGCCAATTCAGGGGCGGATACAGGATTTAAGTGAGGGGGGGGCAAGATTTTTTAAAAACAAAAAATTAATAATTAGGAACAATAAATCGTGCCGCAGGCGAAATTTTTTTTTGACTTAAAAGAGTCAAAATTAATGACTAAAGACTAAAAAACTAGATTTTTAACTTTAAGGAACAAAATTAACGGATAAACAGGAATTTAGGAACAATTAAAAGATTGTTCAGGAATTAGGAACAAAAATAAATGATTAGGACAGGAATTTAGGAACAATTAAAAGATTGTTCAGGAATTAGGAACAAAAATAAATGATTAGGACAGGAATTTAGGAACAATTAAGAGATTGTTCAGGAATTAGGAACAAAATTAAAGGATTAGGACAGGGATGTAAGGTGGGTCGGACACAGGAACAGGAGCAATAATGGGAACATTAGCAATTTAGGAACAAAAAGAAATTACTAGTTATACTTAAAAGCATCAAAATTAGGACCAATATTACAATTTTGATAAATGAGTATTGATTAAGGAGCATTACTATAAATGAACAATATTATAACTTAAGTCTAGTTTCTTACAAATTTCTAATTCTAAATTTATCGTTAACAATAACATTTACTTGTTGTCGTTGATTTTTAAATTAAACTGAAGAAAAGAAAGTCAAGATTTCCATTAAATAAAAAAAGCTTGAAATTGAAAAACACATACGATTTATAAAATTGGGAACATTTTTTGCCTCGAAATCTCAGGGAGGGG